AGATTTCAAGATCCAGACCAAGAATGTGTAATGCATTATTTTCCACATACTTTAAAATTCCCTATGATTTTAAGTATGCGATATTGAAATTAGCGTAGAAAAGGCACGTCGTAATGAATTTTATTTAATTTTTACTTTCTCGCTTTCGCTGTAGAATGAAAGATATATAAATCTGCTCGAAAAAACTGCAAATTTTTGGGCAGAAAATCTCTTTTATTACAATGCCCTGCTAACAAAAAAGTGAATACATCCAGTTTGGTAAATTTAGAAAAAAATGTAAATTTCTAATATGTGCCTGAATCCATTTTTTATGGCTTCTTGATACCGAAAAATCGATTGACGGCAAAACGACTGTCCGTCTGCCTGTCTGCAAGCAGCGCTAGCGGCTAAACCATTCAGCCAATTTTCTCCAAAATTGTTATTCCCCGATCTATTTTGCTGATGACGCAGCCAGTTGAATCTAAAACCAATATTTTAATTTTTGGGGTACTTTACTTAAATCAATGGGACATTTTCAAAATTTTCGAAAGAATTGCGCCATCGATTTTAATTAAATTTCGTTGTTGGATAGTCTGAATGACTTTTAACCCTCTGACTGCTCAAGATTAGTTGATATGCAAAATATTGCCGTGTGTGGTAGCCTCTGGAAGAGTTATCATGCTGTCATTGTCGCTGGGAGCCTCTGGACGAGATCGTACGCAAAACCGCGATGTCCTGGGAACCTTTAGATGAAATAATTATATGCGTCGTCATTGCCAACAATATTATTTAATAAAAAAAACAGCTTTTAATGGCTTAGCCATCGAAAGCTGCTATTTTAATAAATAATATTGTTGGCAATGACGACGCATATAATTATTTCATTGGAAATGCCAATGCCAACTCACCACAATGCCTATAACCTCTAGACGAGTTCGCTTGTGCAAGAGAACTTTCGGTTATCGTTTCGACTTACTGATAACTGAGATCTCTTGCGCGATATCTACAGACGAGTGAGCTTATGTGATGAAGGTCTTCGCAGCGAAAAGCGCGGCGCAAAAGGCGTGTCTTTAAGAAGTCGGCCGGCCCTTAGCACTTAAAGGGTTAAGAGATTGGCGTAGATCTTACGTTGGTTAAAAAATGATTCGGTGTCTTCCTACAACTAAAATATTTAAGATAGATTTTTTCTTTACTAAAATCTTTTTCTTATAGATAAATTTTGAAATGAAGTCACGTATACGTTTTCGAAAATTTGAGTATTTTTCACGTTATTTGAGTATTTTGTGTGCGTTATAGGCAATTTTTAATTTTGTTTAAACAGTTGTTTCCTCAAAAACGGCTACGTCTTTTTTGATTGAATTTTGTTGTTGGATAGTTTGAAGCACGGTTAAGAAAATGGTGAAGGTGGTATGGCGGTGAATAACTCTGTTTCGAAAATTGAAAAAATTAAAAATGGTTTCGGCGTCTTTCTACAGCTACAATTACGAATATTTTGTTTCTTTCTTAATGAAACATATTCATGAAAATCAGATCTTTAAATAAGGACATAGTCGATTTTGTAGGGAAAATGAGTATTTATGTGTCAAACCGGCAATTTTTATTTTCATTAAACCATTTTTCTTAAAAACCGCACAATATTTTTTGTTTAAATTGAAGCCTTAGATAGCACAATGGATGCTTAAGAAACTGGTGCATGTATCATGTACGTTTAATGTCTGATTTTGCGAAGGTTTCAACAACAAAATGTTCGGCCTCTGCCTACGCTTGCAATCATGAAGATTATCTTAAGGAAATGTGATCACAAAAAACATCCTCAAATAAGGTCATAATGAATTTCTATCAAAAAGGAGTGTTTTTCGTGTAATTTCCCAAGAAACATGAAAGGCCCCTCCCATAGGATTGCGTCTCGTTTTCTGCGTCTTCCCACAACTGCAACTGTAAAAATACAATTCTTTTTCTTATTGAAATATGTTTATCTAAAATTGATCTTCAACAATGATCACGTTCAAGTTTTTAATAATATGAGTATTTTGGGGCTAATTTGGAGACAAAAATAAAGGCCTGTTCACATTTACTGCGCTTTGTTGTAGAAATTCCCGACATTTAGATGCTTCGTAAGTTAGAATTTGTATATTTCATATATCTTTGTTCGTTTCCTACATTCGACCTTCTGTTATACATTTACGCATTAATCTTTTAGAAATTATTTAAAACCTGTTCGAAATACTGCTAGCTTTCTGGGTATATCAAATTGGAATGCTACAATGACTCGACAACAATGATTGAAAGCTCATTTTTGAGAATTACGTATTGTTTCGAAATGATTTATCTGTATGAAAAGCAGTGATCATTGTCAAATTTGTGTTGATATTTGCTTAAAAATGTTTATTTTTTGCACTAAATGTTGTACGATTTGTAAAGAGCAGGATAGTATTTAAATACTTGTGAATGTATTTAAAATACGGATTTTACATACATGTTCATCCACGTCAGTTGAATGACTGTTTCCATTGCAGGTTTTATATATTCGTCAACTGATGATTTGTTTGAAATATCAGTAGTTTTTATTCAAAGCGAGCGACAAGTTATTATATTTCCCTTGGTGCACTGAAAGCTATGGAAAGATCCTCAAACCTAGAAAATCTGACCTTTAATATTAACCAGATTTTCAGCAAAGCTGAAATTTGATAGAAATAACACAAAAATATATTTTGCTGGATAGAAATTAGAATGTAGAAAAAGTTTTGAATATTTGCAACATTCAAAAAATCTGGGTTTTCAAGGAAAATGAACCCGCACCTTTCGCATAACTGTCTTTCATACTCTCGAACAATAAAATTTAATCAAAAACGGAGCAATTTTTTTGTTTTGAAAATGTCCCAGAATCATCATGTAAAGGAAAAGGAAGGGTTATAACTTCAAATGTTCAAACATTAATTCATTTTTATTGTTTATTTAAAAATGTATTACATAACTAATATAAAATGTATTATACAACTATTACTGAAAGTGAGAAAGTATGTGCTCTTTTTTTCATAAAATATTACTCACACTTTTGAAACATTACCATTTAATAATTTGCCCGGAGCATTTGTGATCTGCCAGAGATGTGAAATTGACAATATGTTCACTGTTCACCACGCTTGATTTTACAACATCCAAATTAAATATGCCCTTATCAGTTTTTCTGAGAAATTTTTATTCTAAGAACCTTCAACCTCAGTTTTAATGGCTTTAATAATTGAAATCAGTTCAAAATGTATAACAATATGATCTATATTTACAATATTATCTATATATCTATTATGTTTCCCTTTCATAATTTTTAATAATGTACTTGAGTTTTTTACTTAACATTTAAACTTCTGTAATCAAGGTGTAGATCATTTAAAAGTTTATAACTTTTTGAAGCTGTGTAGCTTTACTACGCATATTAATATCGGTCGTTCCTGAGAGATGATCCTAATAATCCCCGTTGTTTAACTTTAATATTTTAATACCGAGGAACGTATATCTAAACTTTAGAAGTTCATGGCCTTGCACTCAAACAACATAAAAACAAGATATGAGAAGCTATTGAATAGCGGTCTGGTAAGAACTGAGCTCCTGTAGTCTCAGATATATTTAGAGCTAATTTTGCTTTGAAATTTATGTAATGGTCTGTGAAAAAAGCAAGCTAAATCTATACTAATAAAAGTGAATTCAAAGACATGTAAACGACATCGATTCCACAAAAAGGAGTGTGTGGATGGATACGAAAAATTTTCAAGCTTTCTTCAGGATTTGACGCAGTGACCTTGCAAAGTTTGGTAAAGATTAATACAACACAAATGAGGGGGTAAATGTAATTTAAATAATATGTTGGAAGATGCACCACAATAGTTAATTTTTTGCCTGTCACTAAGAGATAGGTTTCTAAAATATTCCGCCAGATGCCAGCAGCAGTGCAGTAGGACCGTTGCCCGATCTTCATGAAAGATGACACATCTACGTGTTTTTTCACACAGGTTTTTGTGCTGTTAATTTTGTTAATTATTACTAAATGGCGTTGCAGCACAATATTGTGCTTAATTTCAATTCAACTTCCATTCAAACTGGACTCCACCTGGACTTCATTAACAAAACAAAACATTGTTGCTGGGAGTTGCCTTTTGACGCAGGGCGTGGCCAAGGAGGACAGGACAGGCGACGCGAGAGAGGGAGACACACAGAGACAGCGAGACACACAGAGACAGCGAGACACACAGAGACAGCGAGACACACAGAGACAGCGTGACAAACGGAGTGACAAACGGAGTGACAAACGGAGTGACAAACGGAGTGACAAACGGAGTGACAAAGAGACTGCAACAGACAGACAGGCAGGCGGACAGACATACAAATACGGAACGACAGAAACAGACAGAGACTGGCAGACACACAGACACAGACAAACGCAGACACAGATATATAGACCGACAGACTCAGACACTACATTCAAGTTTACTACATTCAAGTTTACTACATTCAAGTTTACTACATTCAAGTTTACTACATTCTAGTTTACTACATTCCAGTTTACTACATTCCAGTTTACTACATTCCAGTTTACTACATTCCAGTTTACTACATTCCAGTTTTCTACATTCCGGTTTACTACATTCCGGTTTACTACATCCCGGTTTACTACACTCCGGTTTACTACACTCCGGTTCACTACACTCCGGTTTACTACACTCCGGTTTACTACACTCCGGTTTACTACATTCCGGTTTACTACATTCCGGTTTACTACATTCCGGTTTACTACATTCCGGTTTACTACATTCCAGATTAATACATTTCAGATTAATACATTTCAGATTAATACATTTCAGATTAATACATTTCAGATTAATACATTCCAGTTTTATACATTCCAGTTTAATACATTCCAGTTTAATACATTCCAGTTCACTACACTCGAGTTCACTATATCTAGAGTAGCCTGTGTGTGTGCTTTTGGCTCGGACGCGTGCGAGTTCGTCCGCGGTGTTCCGCAGGGGTCGGTGTGCGTGTACCGCTGGCCGCCGCCTGCGGGCTCGGGCGTGGGCCACGACGTGAGCCGCTTCCAAGGGCTGCCATGCAACGACCCCATCCACGTGCTGGTGCGCGTGTACGTGGTGCGCGCCTTCGACCTGCACCCCATGGACCTGAACGGCAAGGCCGACCCCTACGTGGTGCTGCAGCTGGGCTCGCGGCGCATCTCCGACAAGGAGCGTTACGTCTCCAAGCAGCTCAACCCGGTCTTCGGAAGGTCAGCTGGAGCGAACTGCTTTTCTCGTGTACCTGCTTGCTCGTGTATTTGTTTAGAATTCATTAAGCAGAGCCCCCATCCCCGTACGCTCCGCATACATTCCATGCCAAGCATCCCCTGCCCTTCCCTTTAACATCATCCACCCCCGCCAAGAGTTACCCGACATAACGCTAGATACATTACGAGTTGCAATATTCTTCAACGTCAATTCTTCTTCTTCTTCTTTTTATTCTTATTCTTCTTCTTCTTCTTATTATTATTATTATTATTATTATTATTATTTATTTATTTATATTTACATTTCAAACACACTTATAAATTTCCTTGTTTCATATATTTAAACATCATTTATCGTAATAGAAATTTATATGAAATTAATAAATTTAGAAGTACGATTATCTATTATTTGAAAGGCAGAAAGAACAGTTTTATTACAATACTTAAACAAGACAATAAGTTAATTTATCTAATCAAAGAACTTTCGGGTACACAGAGATCATTAAAATTTCGGGTATTGAAGTGAATTGTTACTTTCTCATTTTTATAACAATTAAAATAATTTTTTATATTGCTTTACTACCCTGCATTGTGCATTGTGCCATTTTCTCTCTCTACGGACTAATTATAAAATATTTCAACTTCACGCCCTGACAGAAATCGATGCTTCCTCGACCAAATCCAGCATAGTTCTGACCAAAATAGTTCGCTTTCACTTCCTATCCGACGTAACCAGTTGACTTGTTTCACTGTTATTCTTGTTCCTCGATGCGCTCTTGCCGCACCCTAAACCATATATCAAGCGTATTTTACCCCTGTTAACAATGTCATATCTCATTTCTCTTCTTTTTTTTCGGGAAAATTCCTAAATTGTTCAAAATATACTTCATCCAAATATATTTGGATTTTCTGACTCCTTACACTCTCAATGTCTCATATTAATTTGCGTCATCACGCAATTCCTCTCATTTTGCAAGATTTTGACTTGCTTACAAATACCAAAAATATCACAATATATTTTGCCTTGCGTTAAACTTCCACTTCAGATGACAATCTGTTGCTTACGTAGTCTGCGAAAAAGTTGACATATCAAATAAATCAGTTTAATAAAAACACTGGCTCGAAGTACTGGAGTAGTGACCTTGACTTCTCCCTTCAGCCTCGACAACAATGTACTAAGTCATTGATCTTCTCTCTTCTACACTTGCGGCGTCTGCATTACATTCCGCAATACTTCACATGAATAATTATACACAACCAATAAATATTTCACACTTTACCACTCTGTCGAATCAATATTTCTTTTCGTATTTGACTCTCTGTCAGTTTCGTGCCCCCAATTCACTTTTCTATCGCAGACGGCTTTGTTAATAACACTATAACAAACTTGTTCCTTTTTACAATTTATTCATTTAAATCTAACTTATTCTAATCGGCAGGTACTCACCTTATAAGGGCCCATAGATTTACCACACTACATTCTCTATGATATTTCGTATGATAATATTATTACAAGTTTACACCATATCTTACACCTTTATTTAGATTTATTTCATCTCGTACAGAACTTAAATTGTGAGTTCTTCCCATCTCTTTTCTCTCTACAACTATTTTTCCTGAGGTTATTTCCAACTTGGCGATCACCTTAGTTATTATTTCTATCCGTAAAATTATTCAAGTCATCAAATACATTTTAATAGAAACTTATTTTCGCGACGCGTGTCCGCAGCTTACGGCATTTTTCTATCATCCCTCTCTCTGACCGACCTCTACGACCGCTCTGTGCTCTTGCTTCTCGCAATAATACCTTTTTGTGCGATCGTCTACTGTTTGTGTTTTCGGCGCAGTACCAGCTATAACCCTTTTCGTTTTTTATGCATTTCACGCATCATTGTCCCTTTGTCAATCAATCGCGTGTTCTCATTCGCAATAATCCTTCATTGTTCCTTTCACATGTATGGGAAAATATATTTAATTGCCACATCTGTACTCATTTATTTAATATTTATGTCATTGAGATTGCGTGGTTCAGTTCACTATAATTATGTGCTAGAAAAAATGCAACATTTTCTCCAAGTCGCTTGTACTGTGTGTCTACAATAGCTATTTGCCGCATGTTGCATGTGCTTCAAAAAATGTGACGAGTATAACTGTTACATGAATTTTCCTACAAGTTCTTGGGGGACTACTGATCATCTTGGATACTATACTCCTTAGAAAATCGCAACGTTTACTCTGTGGCAACGTGTAGTGGGTGGCGCCAATGCGACGTGCCGGTGTTGCAGGTGCTTCGAGATCGAGGCGACGTTCCCGCAGGACTCGCTGCTGACGGTGCAGGTGCTGGACTGGGACCTGGTGGGCGCCGACGACCTCATCGGGGAGACGCGCATCGACCTGGAGAACCGCTTCTACAGCCGCCACCGCGCCACCTGCGGCCTCGCGCAGCAGTACGAGGAGTACGTACGCCCCCTACCCTTCCCTGTACGAGGAGTACGTACCCCCTACCCTTCTCTGTACGAGGAGTACGTACGCCCCCCTGCCCTTCTCTGTACGAAGAGTACGTACGCCCCCCACCCTTCTCTGTAAAAGGAGTACGTACTCGCCCTGCCCTTCTTTGTAAAAGGAGTACGTACGCCCTCTACCCTTCTCTGTAGGATGAGTACGTACGCTCCTACCCTTCTTCCTACGCGCCACCTGCGGCCTCGCGCAACAGTACGAGGAGTACGTACGCCCCGTGCCCTTCTCTGTAGGATGAGTACGTACTCGCCCTGCCCTTCTCTGTAAAAGGAGTACTACGCCCTCTACCCTTCTCTGTACGAGGAGTACGTACGTCCACCTACCCTTCTCTGTACGATGAGTACGTAGTCTCCTCTTCCCTTTTCTGTAGGATGAGTACGCCCCCTACCCTTCTCCCCCGCCCTTCTCTGTAAAAGGAGTACGTACGCCTCCTACCCTTCTCTGAATGAAGAATACGTACGCCACTGTACTCTTCTCTTACGAGGAGTACGTATGCCCCCTCTACCGTTCTCTGCCGTTCGAAATGAGAGCGGCCTCTCAGGGGGGGGGTGAACAGCCCTGATTTGGAAACAAAACCAACTTTAGAGCTTACCTACAAACTGCTCGTACATATTGTAAATGTATTAGTTTCTAGTAAAAAATCGAATTGTCGAATTGAATTTAGACGACACATGATTCTTGCTCATTATGATAGAAACAGTTTCAAAACAGTCCGTTTTTGGATTTTTTTATTTTTGAGAATATTCTAAAACCGGCTAAGACAGCTCATGGCGTCAACTGATGTTACTGCAGAGCCTCTGACCGACAGGTTCTAGAGTTCGAGTCCCGATGGTGGCAGGATTTTCAGAACTAGCTAGATAACTAGATCGAGTTCAGGAGAGTTATAGTGGCCGGCTGTTCTGATCGGTAGTGTTTCGTGGTTTCTGCGGCAAATGAAGTACAAACGGGACATGGGCCGCGCGCAATCTTTCCATCCTCTTCCTTGTATTATCCCTCTCCTTAGATACATACCTGCCCTACATACTTCACGTTTCGAGAGACTAAAGCGTGTCCTGGATGGGGAGGTGCCTCGTTGGTAGGAGATACATCGATGGGGAGAACCTCGCATACTGACGTGGATGTCGACGCCAAATCTCCCCACACACCAATCGCTGCCACCTCCCGTGATAAAAAAAACATGCATTACATTTACAAGACTAACGGAACACGCCCGAAAACTCTAAATAATCAATGCGAATGTTCCAAAATTTATTAGTTATGTATTTAAACAAATTTGTATTGAGTATTTTGTGGCCCCTGCTACAAGAATGTCGCGTAAATCTTAAAGATACAATGAAAGAAAGAACAGTCGAAGTATACCAGATCCATGATACTGTAACCAGTTTCCTTGTTACAGTATCATGGATCTGGTATACTTCAACGGTTCTTTTTTTCGGTGTGAAAACCAAACATAGGCAAGGAAGGGGCTTTACCGAATTCCTCCCGTTCTTCTGACTGAAGGCGCCCGCCTGTTGGTCCCGCAGGAGCGGCTACAACGCGTGGAGGGACCCGCAGAAGCCGACGCAGATCCTGGCGAAGCTGTGCAAGGAGGCGAAGATGGAGCCGCCGGTGTACAACGGCACGCGCGTGCGCCTCGGCAGGACCACGTTCACGCTGCCCGAGGACGAGCCCTCGCCCTCCTTCACCAGCGGTGCGCCCGCCCCCGCCCTTTCCTCGCCACTGCCTCCTCTTCCCTCCTCTTTCTCTCTCGCGAGCGCTCTCTCTCGCTCTCGCCCTCTCTCTCGCTCTCTCTCGCGCGCGCCTTCTCTCTCGCGCTCTCTCTCACGCGCTCTCTCTCCCTCTAGCTCTCTCTCGCGCGCTCTCTATCTCTCTCTCGCGCTCTCTCTCTCTCTCGCTCTCTCTCGCGCTCTCTCTCGCGCGCTCTCTCGCTCTCTCTCTCTCGCTCTAGCTCTCTCGTTAGCTCTCTCTCTCTTTAGCCCTCTCACGCTCTTTTACGCGCACTCTCTCTCCCTCTTTCTCTCGCTCTCTCTCTCACTCTCCCTCTCTTTCTCTCACTCACCCTCTCTCGTTCGCACTCTTGCTCCCTCTGTCGCTTGCTCTCTCTCAACTCCACTCTCACACTTCTCTCCGCCCCTTTAAATAAAATAAATTAATATAATATTTTTTTTAAATGGAGGTTGTTTGGGGGAATTTTTTATATATTTCATTAATTTCAAGCAGAAATTACGCATAAACTAGTTGTGGTTTTAAAAAATTATTCGCCTTGTCATTTGATAAAACAGATTTTTTAAGACCAAAATCTCGAAGTTAAATATTATACATTTCAAAAATTCGGAGCCATTCTTGAGAATATTTTAAAGTGTAAATGAGGTTTCAGGTAACTTACCTCTCCCCCCTCCACAAAAAAATTCAAAATCACAGGGCTTTGTGCTCGCTTAGATCTATAGGGGATTATCACTTTTGGAGAAAATTGTCAGGACTGTTTAAGCGCTAGCGTTGGCTCAGACGGACGGACGGACGGACGGACGGACGGAAGGACGGACGGGTAGACTAACAAACAGACGTTTTGGCGTCAATCGATTTTTCGGTATTAAGAACCCACAAAACATGGATTCTGACAGCACAGCGCTTTAGAGGAAGTAATTTACCACCTTTAGGAACAAGGTTATGCACTTTTTCGTTACCAGGGCCCCACAATACAATTTCTTCGTCGAAAATTCGCCGTTTTCGAGCGCACCATTACATTACTGTCTCTTCTTACGAAGTAAGGAGAAAAGTGAAAATTCAGGGCAGCATATTGCAGGGTGGGACCCATCCGACCGTTTTAGAGAGGGGGTCATAGATTTTTGTTAAATAATAAACATTTGTTATTATGTTGAATGTAAATTTCGAAGGGTACATTATGTAAAAATACTCGCCCGCAGCGCTGGAGGAGCGCGTGGCGCTGCACGCGCTGCGGCGCTGGCCCGAGGTGCCGCGCGTGGGCTGCCCGCTGGTGCCCGAGCACGTGGAGACACGGCCGCTCTTCAGCCCCGCGCAGCCCGGCCTGGAGCGCGGCCGGCTGCAGCTGTGGGTGGACATGTTCCCGCGCGACATGCCCGCGCCGGGCCCGCCCACGGACGTGGCGCCGCGCAAGCCGCGCTCCTTCGAGCTGCGCGTCGTCGTCTGGAACACGGACGAGGTGGTGCTGGAGGACGACGCCTTCTTCACCGGCGAGAAGATGTCCGACATCTACGTCAAGGGGTGAGCCCGCTGCCTCTCGAGCGCTGGGTCGGGGCGGCGCGGCGCTCTTCCTCTCCCCGCCCCTGCTCTCGTCCTGTTCTTCTCCTCTCTCGTGCTCCTCCCTCTCCTGTTCTCTCAACGTTACAAACTCTCCTCTACTCTCTATCTCCTCTTCACTCTCCTATACACTCTCTATTCTGCTCTCTCTACTCTGTCTCTCCTCTACTCTCTCTCCTCTCCTCCTTAATCACTTCTCCCTTTCCTCTTTTCTCTCGCCTCTAATCTTGTCTACACTCTCTCTTTCTCTCCCTTTCTCTATATATTCTCCACTCTCTTTCTCTGTATTCTCTACTTTCTCTTCTTCTCTCTATCTTCTTCTCTCTCTCTTCTTCTCTCTCTCTTCTTCTCTCTCTCTTCTTTTCTCTCTCTCTTCTTCTCTCTCTTCTTCTCTCTCTTCTTCTCTCTCTTCATCTCTCTCCTTCTCTCTCTTCATCTCTCTCTTCATCTCTCTCATCTCTCTCTTCTTCTCTCTCTTCTTCTCTCTATTCTTCTCTCTCTCCTTCTCTCTCTTCTTCTCTCTCTTCTTCTCTCTCTCTCCTTCTCTCTCTTCTTCTCTCTCTCTTCTTCTCTCTCTCTTCTACTCTCTCTCTTCTACTCTCTCTCTTCTACTCTCTCTCTTCTACTCTCTCTCTCCTACTCTCTCTCTTCTACTCTCTCTCTTCTACTCTCTCTCTTCTACTCTCTCTCTCTTCTACTCTCTCTCTCTTCTACTATCTCTCTCTTCTACTCTCTCTCTCTTCTACTCTCTCTCTTCTACTCTCTCTCTTCTACTCTCTCTCTCTCTCTCTTCTACTCTCTCTCTCTTCTACACTCTCTCTCTTCTACACTCTCTCTCTTCTACACTCTCTCTCTTCTACACTCTCTCTCTATTCTACACTCTCTCTATTCTACACTCTCTCTCTATTCTACACTCTCTCTCTATTCTACACTCTCTCTCTATTCTACTCTCTCTCTATTCTACTCTCTCTATTCTCTTTTTTCTCTACTCTCTATTTGCTCTTCTGTCTCTCTTTTCTCTACTCTCTCTCTCTCTCTCTCTCTCTCTCTCTCTTTCTCTACTCTCACTTCTCTTCAAAATTTGGAATCTCTTAGTCCTCTTACTTTTGATAAACAATTCGGAATTTTGGCGAATGTGCGCATGCGCGGTTTTACATATCCACAAGGCGCATTATGTATACGCGCGTTCGCTAAAATACCAGAATCGTTCGTTAAAAGACCAAAGTCTTACTGGGCCGCAATAATTTGGTATCCCTAAGTTACATCCTTAGCGGTCCATTACCCAGGAGTTTCGATCTCAGTGTGCTTGCACGCTCGATGCTCGCAGATGGTTGAAGGGCCCCGAGGACTGCCAGTGCACCGACATCCACTACCGGTCGCTGACCGGCGAGGGCAACTTCAACTGGCGCTTCGTGTTCCCGTTCGACTACCTCGTGGCCGAGGAGCGCATGGTGCTCTCGCGCAAGGAGTCGCTGTTCTCGTGGGACGAGACGGAGTGCAAGCTCCCGGCCCGCCTCGAGCTGCAAGTGTGGGACGCGGACCACTTCTCGGCCGACGACTTCTTAGGTACGCTGCCGACGAGCCTACGAGGAAGGCCCTTTTCATTTAAAAACATTCACATTAACGACAGGTCATGAGTATTTGCCAGAAGTCATTCAAAGAAACGGGGCACGAACGTCTAAATAAAACAATTGCCCAAAGTAAAAACAAATAAAAACGTTTCATAGCTAATAGAAAATTATTTTCATAGTATCATAGTTTGTTTTCTTCTTAGGTGGCTTCAACTCCAACATGAATGTTTTGAAAATTTCGAGTTCTCTCCTCTCCTCTCTCTCCTCTCCTCTCTCTCCTCTCTCTCCTCTCTCTCCTCTCTCTCCTCTCTCTCCTCTCTCTCTCCTCTC